GAATTTTCTCTACAGGACTTGCTTTCCCAGCAAAGTCATATTCTCGAATTTGAACCTGAAACTGTGTATCCATGAATGTCTCAAGGAGACTAGCTTATAGAAAAAAATCAGATGGTTTGGACAAACTCTCTTCGAAATATAGATGTCTCAAGCATACAGCTTCTATAGAAAATTATCTATATTTTGAGAGATTCATATCTCGAAGAGGGTTTGTCCAAAACTTCTGATTTTTTCCTGTAAACTAGTCTCATTGAAACCTTCATGCATACAAAGTTTCAGGTTTAAATTCGAGAATATGATATTGCTGGGAAAGCCGGTCCTGTAGAGAAAATTCACTGAAAAATCGAATATCTTCCTCTAGACAAGCCAAGAGGAGCTAATATTTTAACCTTGCTAGTTTGGCTATGAGAGCTTTCATTTGATCCGAAAATATCCCGTTTTTCTCACGGACAGTACCAGCACCTCCATTGTAAGCCAATTATTTGCAAATTTTTCAACATCCAATGATGATAATGATGGTAAAAGAGATGCTATATTTTGATTCATCGAAGATTCTGTTAACATTAATGCACCAAACAAATCAAAAGTCACTAGACGCAATTTTTTTACATCAAGCGATGAACAAGATATCAATGTAGAAGAATTGTTGAGCTCAATGTTTGATGTTTGACCACTGATGGATAAAGTTGAAAATTCTACGAAGAATTCACAGGCGCAAAAAATAAAAATCATAGAAATTACATTAGAGTATTGAAATAGGTGTACCATCTTTTTTTTTCTATCTTGAAAATATAAATTACAAATTCTATTCAAGATGCAGTTGAAAGAAAGAAAAACAGAAACAATATAAAATGATTAAAATGCAGAGATTTGTTTCTTTTTATTTTGAAAATATAATTTACAGATATCAATAACTAACAGATTAAAAAAAAGACGAAAATATTTGCATTAGTACTATCAAAATATCATTATAAGTGCAATCATACTCTTTTGTATTTTGAAAAAATGTTTTTCAGTTTTAAGTATAATGACAAAAGCAAAAAAAATGTCTTATCATAAAATTTCAATAATTCTGATATTTTCTTTCTGAGAGATTATCAAGAAAAAGAAATGGCATAATTTTATTTTAAATAGAATATACACGTGTATGGTGTGTGCGTGTCTTTAACTTCAAAATTGACGCGAGAGTTCATCGAGCCCAGAAATTTCTGGAGCCGGACCCGAGCCTTACGGAGTAATATTATTGGGACTTATTGTTAGCTCTCGTTTGGGGATTATGTAGCAATGGTAGAACTAATATTTAGTCTGCCAAAAATAGAGAGCTAAACATGTTTCAATAATAGGTTTTTGTCGTCGTATCATATATAGAATATATTAAGTATCGAGTATTCGATACGATAGAACATCAACAACTGCGCAATAGCGAACGAAAATCAATCACGAGGATTAGTCATAGTCGAAAATATTACGTAACAAATCAAAATAGAGATCATAACAACAGATAACACGAATAAACGTTTAGCGTCAGTGAGTGCCATCTACTGACGCTAACACTTATAATTTAACATTATTTTTTAAATTGCTAATGTATTTTTCTGTTTCATGAGTAGCATACTGCACATAGTCTTTGAACGATCCAATAGAGATTTTACAATAATTAATATCAATTAGCTTCTACTCATAACCAAAACATTCTGATAAAATAATTAAAGCATATGCCCTACAAAAGTTGGAGTGATATGGTATTATCCCACTACATCAAAAGGAATTTGATGGATATTATGACGTCGAAATCATGATTCCCAGTGTAACGATGTTATGACATCTATATGGTTTCTACAACAAACGTTATCTATCAGATCCCAGAAGGCACGTTATTAACCTCTACAAATGAGAGTAACTTCACTGTAACCAGCCGTTCCTACGCCATATTTTACCGTAACCGACCGCGTTAGTACTGTATTCCAGCTCCACAATTTATAACCGTGTTTTCGGTTCATTTTTGCCGTATTAGCATCGTATACATAATATACTGCAAAGTATTTGGAACGTTTGATGGCATACCATTATTATAGAGTTACAGGCTAGCCTCATCTTTTGATGTTGCCGATTTTGGACTGTGGGGCATAAAATCTGGAGGAGCAAATATTAGGGCGGATACAAGACACTTGGATCGATATTATTTAAACCATCAGAATTGAGAAAGCTGCTATCATTGGTGCTAATCGACACTGGTAAAAATAAACGCAAATTTTAAGTACACATTATTTGAACAAATAATACTTTACCCAGCAATGAACCTGAATCAGCTCGTCGTAGTTTTTGACGTTGTGAACGAATTGGACAAGTAGGATACACATTTTCTGTTTGTCGATCAACTGCAAGTAGATTGCCTATTTTGATATTTACTTCAACAAGATCATTGATTACTAGAATTAATGAGTAGCAAATTGCACTTGAAACTATTCATCTATTGATATTTACTTGATACTATTGATGATTGAATTTTTTATCGATTAAATTTTCTAATACACGAAATAATTGACCATCTAAAAGAATTTGTTCAGCACCATAGTCCATATCACAGATTTCTCTTGATAATCTCATAGTTTTTCTTATTTTCAAGGTACCTATATACATAAGAAGCATAGAATACAATGTGATACTTACATCAAAATATCTGCAAAGCATCCGATGCTAATAACAAATGAAATGAAATCGATGGAAAATGCGCATCTAAAGGGAAGTAAATAAAGCACAGCACAATCCTGTTGTGTTTTACATAAAAGTGATCCAATTAAAGTTTCTTCCTCTGTCATCGTTAATAGCCTCCTGCTTGACAAATTCTCGGTTCTGTGTCAATTCAACACAACACGTTATCGATCCTAGTGGGTTTTATTCCTTACATCGATATTCAAACTAATCGTGAAATTGTTCGGAATTCTATTTAATTACAGCAGCAGACAAGTACATGTTTTCGTAGTATTGTTGAGTTTCTCAGCTATCGTTCGTTACTTTGGTGCTTTTCTCCTACTGTCTACGATATTTTTGAATCACTTATTTTCGTTTAAATGATGAAGCTTCATCACGAGAAGATTTTATTACAATCTTACGTTCAATATTTGGGTTTGGTGATGTGACCTTGATCCTACGAAAACGAAAAATTTATGAGAGTTAATTATATAAAAAATAATCAAAGTATATACGGCATATTTTCACTATTGATTAGACGTACAAATTCACAGAAAATACTCGTGCGACAATGGCAAACTTTGCGTATTAACTTGATGGCAACCAGAGCAATATGAAATTCGTATTCTTAGTGTCTGGTCGAGTCCATCGGGTCCAAGAATTTTTGGACCCGAACCCGGAGCCGGTACATCAAAAACGTTTGGACCAACACTAGTCGTGATACAAAAAGTTTGAAACTATTCTGATAGAATTATTCAAATTGAAGCAAACCCCCTCCCATATTAGAAGACTCCCCAGCTTGTATCACGGAAAACCGTTAGAAGTTTGAAAAATGGTGTTCTATAGGAAACAGATTCCTTTCTTACGTAGATCTTCGATTATGGGAGAGGGAGGGGAGTTAGCGTACCTCAACTTTAATCTTTGAATTTAAAGCTACAACAAGCACATCTTAAAGCTTAACTTTCTAAAAAGTCAAGATTTAAGGTATATTTTTCAGAAAGTCTTTTATTAAAAATTTTTGTAATGAAAAAAAATACTTCTGAAAAAAGAATCTATTTGAACTTGAACTCGTTGGACCGCAAATTTTAATCATGCTTCTTTTAACTTGAAAGTAAAGTTAATCTGGCATTCTTAACAAATACCTAGTTGATGAATCAAAAATAAATCTGGAACAAAACGTATTCTTAAACTGGTAACCAACTTTTCTAATTCGATCTGGTGTTCACTCCAAAGATATGGCATACATCTGTCCTTTTGTGCTATATACGTAGTACATCTTACATGTTCTTTCAACTATCCGATAAAGAGTTGTTAACAATTAATTGATGATCGGATCTGATCCCTAGCGACTCGTTAGTAGTGTGCAGCTTCGGATATTTATTATGTTAGACAACTTCACCACCAACTCCATCGGCTTCATTTTCACGCAATTATATACATAAAAATTTTCTTGTGATTTGACCCCATAAGTGAAAAACGTTTCATCTGAGTCCAAACCCAGACTGCGAAAAATAATTTTCAGACCCGGCATTGGACCCAATGAGTTCTAGCCACGACCTAGACGATAGTCTTTTATTGAATGATTTTTTTCATCTTTTTGATACGGTCCGATTTCCATCAGTACATTAACGAGAAAAATTCTAATCTCATTGGACAGTTTGTCATAGAGTCATACCATATTCCATTCCAAATGGTCTTATCTAAATTCATATTGTCTCGAAATAATAATTAAAACTATTATGAAGAGAAAAAATACAAAGACTGAAATAAGATGATCAAAGTCTAAATTCAAAAAGAAAAGAATCGAAAATTGTCTAGCTTAAAATATTTGTTCGAATAATAAATATTGTTTGAATTTTTCGTAATTATTTTCTTGAAAAACTTTAATACTTATAATTATAAATATTTAATTATATTCTTGTTCGATTAATGATAACATAACTTCCTTATTTGTGTACACAACGTGAACTATGATTAGAAAGATGAAGATTGATAAATAGAATAAAGAAGGAACCATATTTATATTGAAGTAAATAGATTCAATATACTGAAAGAAGAAGAAGAAAAATAAAAATTTATTTTTATTTAAAGATTAGCTAAATATATTCAAAAAAGAAAATGAAAATGGTGAATTGTATTTAACTATACTCTACACTGAAAAAAAAGGTACCATACGAAACCCCAAAGGTATCCGATTTTTGCAACCAAATCGAAATCCTTTGAGGTTTCGTAAAAAGCCTTAATTTTAATAGCTGATAACAGGGGTTTCGTATTTGGGGTTCCGTATAATTCACCAAGCAATATTGAATGAAAGATCCGCCGGGTGCTATGCTCCATTATGAAAGTAGTTTTCCACCACTATTCACTGCAAAACACACCCATTCTCTAAAAAAGAACCGGGTTCTGTAGAAACCACCAGGAAAGTTATCTGAAAGTCGCCGTATTCTGCAGGAGAGCACAAGATATCGCTGGAACATGGAAGCAGTATTCCGACAGCCAACTTTCGCAAATTGTTTTCAATGATTTCCGCCGCAACTTGCCGAAAGGCATTGCAAGTTGGTCGGAACTCACTAGAAAAATCAGGAAGGTTTGCGACCGGGATACTGTCTCCATGTTCCACCGACACCATGTGTCCCCCTACAGAATACGGGGACTTTCAGGCATCTTTCCTGCCAGTTCCTCCAGATTCCGATGGGTGAAGCGATCGGTGTGGGATGTTTCATCTAAAACGAAAAAAAATGAATTAATCAGCTTTTAACTTTCTAAATGACTCACCATTAAATATTGCTTCATCTGAGAATCGATCTAAGAAGAAATAAAATTATTTATCAGGTGATAACT